TGTCAACACCATGTGACAGTTTACAACCAATCACAGATTGCCATACAGTCCAGCCTATCACAGGGCTCCCAGCCCAAAGAGTCTGTTATCAACCAAGAGAGTTCCGTCCATTGCGGAGTCTTGACGTCCGGAAACAAACAGAGAAAGCGAAATGAGCTATCAGAAAGATAAGAGTGATGGACAGTGTCAAGGTGAAACATATAAATAATTAGTCCATGACAATCTCTAAATATATCATTTGGAAGAACAAAAAACATTATTTTAAATAATCAGTAATCATGAACTCATAAGGTAAGCATGGCCTTAATTTTTTAGACTTTAACACCTTAAATAATACATTCAAAATAAATTGGTTAAAACAATTCATTAAGAACCCATTTTCAATCTTCTACCAGATTTTATTTTCTCTAAATTAGGAGGTCTAAAATTCCTTTTATACTGTAAATAGTAAAATAAAATAGTGTAAATAGTGTAAAGTTGTAGTAATATACTACATATATAAATGTAGTATATACTGTATATAGTAGTATAAGTAATAGTGTAAAGTTGAAAAACTCCCCCTAAACTGTCCGATGTTCATAAACAGATGCTTCTCTCTTGGTCATTCATTCATAAACATAATTTCTCCCCACACACAGATAGATCGGTTCATGCTCAACTCTGATGGATCATTAACGACATATCAAGAATTTGTTTCAAAATGCAAAAGTTGCTGCTGCCACATTGGCCTCTAAACGTTTTATTGTTTATCTGAGCCTGCCTGCCAATTGTGCTGAAATGACTCAGTGTTTTGAATCATTTGATACATTTAAGTGTTGCTCCATCTGCTGGCCAAGCTTCAACATTACAGCTGCATGAAACAGTGTAATGAACCAGTCAGCCTCTGTTCTGTATAATAAAGCTTCTACACGCATCTTGAACTTTCTGACTGTTTTCTTTAAGAACAATAATAAAATATTACAGTAAAATGTGGCTGTGCCGTCACAAAACTGCATGTGATGAAAAAATCTTCTGGGGGAGAAACCCCAGACCCCCCTCCCACATTATGATGACAATTAGTAGCAGTAAAGATAAATATAAGCATTTATGTGAAAGAAAAAGGGGGACTGAAAAAGTGAGGGGTATAAGCAACATTTACATTTGATAATCATCCAGAAGCTATTTTTTAAAGAAAAAACTGATTTTAGAGGCTTGCAGATTAAATTTGCAGTGTGCACCAGTGTTGTATAAAGTACCACAAAATGATACTTGAGTAAAAGTACAAGTATCTTATCAAAAAATTACTTTGTTAAAAGTTAAAGTCTCCTTTAGGAATATTACTTGAGTAAAAGCCTTAAAGTATCTGATATTTTTTGTACTTAAGTATTAAAAATAAAAATATTTATTTAAATGAGCAGTTATATTTTCTGTAATGGCATTTATTAGGAGGTGACCTCAACAAATGACTATATTGTATTAAAATAATTAATTTATGTTAAATTTAGGATGAACTAGTCCAGCTTTTTTCATTTTATATACATATATCAAGGCTGCACAAACCTTTCCCCCAAAATAAAAATCTATCTGAGGGCTGCGGCCAAATGTAATAATATAACTCATGAAATACAAATACTTCTTAAGTACAGTCCTTTTATTCTAATGATTATGTCCTGCTGGAGTGTGACAGGATTTGTTTGTGTACAAACTAATACAGTATCAGAGTTTTATATATTTATACTTCTCAATCAACCACAATTAAATTCACTCTATAGGAGGCACAATTTATATGGAAATTATTTATGTTTTTACAATAACAAGCTGGAATAAAAACAAGCAAAAATGAAATAAAAGTAACAACTTTCTACTTCTTGCCTTTTTTAAATGTAAGGAGTATAAAGTACAGATAAATGTGTGAAAATGTAAGAAGTAAAAAGTAGGCTGAAAAATAATTACCCAAGTAAAGTACAAATACCCAAAAAATATACTTAAGTACAGTAACAAAGTATTTGTTCTTAGTTACTTTACGACTCTGGTGTGCACTCAGTTTATTTCTTTACTAATCTAAAGCACAGTAATGACTTGTTCTTTTCCTGATTTCATTTTAACTTTTCCTATTTTATTAATTTACATTTTATTACAGTCATTTTATCTAATAACTTATTATTATTAGAAACTTATTTTTTCTCACTGGCCTTCAACCCAACTGAGATTTGATTTCACTCAACTTTTACTGTATTGGTTATGATTTTACTTATTTAACTGTGTGATTTTATTGTGTTTTTGTATTCAGTTTTTATTTTATGTGTTCAGCACTTTGTTTCAGCAGTGGCTGATGTTATAGCGCTTTATAAATAAAGTTTGATTGATTGATAATATTTCTTTTTATACGCAGCATTTCCCCAGGCTCCCTGTTTTGTTCCTGTTTACAATAAAGCTTTGCTTTAAAAAAAGACACCCAACAGTCAGATACAGTAATTTAACTTTATTATAAACAAAAGAACTTGCAGTTTGTCAAATACAGAGCACTTGTGAGCTGTGGCAGGATGTATGTTATTAAACTTGAGTCTCTCTAGGAGTGCAAGTCGGGTGTGTGCGATGATTTTCCCTCAAAATACGATAATTCAACATTTCCCTTCTGGCAATGCTAAACGTTTTTGCGACAGTTCTGCTCACGTTACGGTTATTTTTGCGATAGCCGCGGTGTTTACGGTCCATGTGAGTTCGGGCAACGCTGAACGTTTTGCGACAGTTCTGCTCACGTTACGGTTATTTTTGCGATAGCGGCGGTGTTTACGGTCCATGTGCGTAGAGTTCGCTCCGTCTTCAGCATGGTGAAAGTTTCAAAGAAGAAAGGGAGCAAAAGACGATCCAAACACGGCTCGGATGAGCCGGAGGTCAGCAGCGTGGAGCCGCCGGTAGTGTATGATGATGATGATGATGATGAAGACGCTGATTTAAATGCAGCAGGTGATGAAGATTTGAGCAGCGAGGAGGAGGAAAATGAACGGAAGCACCAGAAGCTCTTGGAGGCCATCAGCGCCCTCGGAGGGGAGAAGAAGCAGCTGGGAGAGAGGTCCGAGGCGGCCACGTGCATGTCTGAGTTCACGATGCGCGCGGAGGGGGAGGCGGACAAGGTCCAGCTGTCGGACCTGATCGGAACCACCCCCGCCGTCTCGACCCACGTCAGGAAGCAGCTGAAGGACCTGGAGCGGAGTAAAAAGACGGTGGAGTGTCCGGTGAGCAAACAGGAGACCCAGAGGATCCAGCGGGACCTGGCCTTCCAGAAGGCAGCGTCCGAGGTGAGCCGCTGGAGGAGCATCATCACCCAGAACCAGAGGGCCGAACAGCTGGTCTTCCCCCTCAACCCGGAACCGTCTGGACGCAGACCCATGGAGAGAGTAGTGATGGGCTGGAAGGCTCAGACCCCGCTGGAGCAGGAGGTCTTTGCCCTCCTGTCCGCCAACAAGCAGCCCATCAACGACCCCGTGCTGACCCCTGCAGAGGAGGCCTCGCTGAAGGCCATGAGCCTGGAGGAGGCCAAGGCCCGCCGTGCGGAGCTGCAGAAAGCACGGGCCCTGCAGTCCTACTACGAGTCCAAGACCCGCCGAGAGAGGAAGATCAAGAGCAAGAAGTACCACCGGGTCCAGAACAAGTCCAAGCAAAAAGACCTCCTGAAGAGCTTCGAGGAGATGGTGAAGGTGGACCCGCAGGGGGCCCTGGAGGAGCTCAAAAAGCTGGAGCTGTCCCGCATGCAGGAAAGGATGTCCCTGAAGCACCAGAACAGGGGCAAGTGGGCCAAATCCAGAGCCATCATGGCCAAGTACGACCTGGAGGCCCGCAGGTCCATGCAGCAGCAGCTGGAGGTGAACAAAGAACTCACCCAGAAACTGGTGGCTCCTCTGGAGAGCGAGGAGGAGGAGCGGGCTGAAGATGCAGACATGCTGCCTGACTGTGTGAACGTCACAGAGCTCCAGAGGGATTTCTCCAACCCCTGGATGAGAGGGCAGCTGTCCCAGGAGTCCACGGAGAGGAAGATAAGCAGCACGGAGAGTGTGACCGTGGAGGCAGCTGAGGAGGAGGAGGAGGAGGAGGAGGAACCAAAGGAGGAAGAGCTCCTCAGAGAGCTGGACAGTAGGAGGAAACAGCGCCAGACTGAGGAGTCCAACACAGTCATCCTCATTGATGATGAGGAGGAGGAGGAGGAAGATGTGACAAAAAAACAAACTCCAGAGAAACAAGCAGAGGCTCCCGATGAAGAGGAGGAAGTGATGAAGGACCAAACACTGGAAGAAGAAGCCGTTTCTTCTGATGAGGAGGAGGCGGGGCTTTCAGAGTTCACCCGGATCTTCAGGGGGCTGACTGGAGGTCTGACTGCAGGTGATGCAGACATCAGGGGTCCCTCAGCTCAGCTGGAGGAGGGTCTGATCAGGTTCAGGTCTGTGGAGGACACCGAAGATCTGCCGCAGGAGGAGCTCGTGGCGCCCCCACCGGCCCCCCCCTCAGAACCAGCCCTGTCCTCAGAGTGCCAGGTGGTCCCGAGCAGGAAACGGAAGAAAGGAATCGAGCTGACAGAGGTCCTGACCAAAGACACGACGGCTGTAAGAGTCCCCCTGGCTCCCACCATCACAGACTCTGAGGACCAGCTGGACCAGAGGGGGCTCATCAAGGAGGCCTTCGCCGGCGATGATGTCATCTCTGACTTCATCCGAGAAAAAAGGAAACAGGAGGAGGCGGGAAAGCCCAAAGCCGTGGACCTGACCCTTCCCGGCTGGGGGGAGTGGGGAGGACTTGGTCTCCGACCCTCAAAAAGGAAACGCAGGAGATTCAGGACGAAGGCGGCGCCGGCCCCTCCCAGAGCCGACCGGCACCTTCCCAGCGTCATCATTTCTGAGAAGAGGAACAGCTCCGTCAGCCTCCACCAGGTCAGCTCGCTGCCGTTCCCCTTCGAGAACCACGCCCAGTTCGAGAGCTGCATCCGCGCCCCGCTGGGCCGCACCTGGAACACGGAGCGCACCGTGAAGAAGGTCACCAAGCCCCGGGTGCTCACCAGACTGGGAACCATCATCGAACCCATGGACCAGGAGGAGCTGCTGAAGGACCAAAAGAAGAGCTGCTCGGTCGGCTCCAAAAAAACCCAAAAGTAACCTGAAAAGTGACGAGTTTTCAGTTAATCTGCTTCTTTGTGGTCACACACACACCGGATTAAATAGTTTAAATCAAACACCTTTTTTTTTCTTGTAAATCAGAGTCAATAAATTAGGAGGTTTTTTTCCTGCTAAGTCAAATGTGACAGAACATTGTAAATAATGTGCACAATTTCATGAAATGCAACAACGTTAATGCTATATTTTGAGATCTGTTTGAGCTTGAAGTGTGTGTTGCAGGCATGATGTCAGCAGTTAAGGCTCGAACTTTAAGGAAAAATATTGTGCGATGTATCGAGCTGGAAGTGTGTGTTTGAGATGATGCTAAACTACTAACCCACCAAAATCTTAGGTTAATATTTGTGAAATTGGCAGAGTTAAAGCCCATCTTTGGGTTTTGCTAATGTCAACGATTATTTCCTAATTGTTTCATTAAAGAAGGTTCAGTGGTTTGTTTGGTATTTTGCTAACAAACAGGCAGAAATGTGTGGTAATTAGAAAAAGCTTAAATGGTTTAAGAAACCCATCCAGTTGAAACATCCAGTTGTCTGTAATGTAATGTTACCAATGTTTTTTGGGGCGGGGTATCACCTGAAATAAAAAATAAAGTTATTTAATGTTACATGTGTTTATGCAGCTTTACACTAACTAATAAACGGACCTGTTTTAATTGGCCATGTCTGTGCAAACTTAATGTATTACCAAGGGAGTAAAGAAGCAGCTTAAGCTGCTACAACCAGCTTACTTTAGGCCACAAGTTTGTGTTTTAATATGAATATTATATAAGATTTAAGTGTCCAAGTTTGTATAATCTAAAAGTTGGTATTTTTAGGTTACGCAACAACATATTTTATTAAATGAAAAAGACGGTCAAAATAATTTGTGTCAATGTTGGTTGTCCTGATTTTTAAAGGTCAACATTGATCAAAAACTAATTTGCTGACCTTTGCAGCTGTAATGACAAACTGTCAATAAAGAATCTGTAGATATGGATTTATTGTTTTTTTATATATATATTGCATGGTTCTTACAAAGTTTAAAATCTGGAATATGGTTTCAGTCAGTGGTGGGCACAGTTCCCCTGAAGCAATAATAGAACTAATTTTCTGATTAGTGCTTTAGGGCTTTTGCTAATTTTAAAATGAATTAGTGGATTAGCAATTGCTAAATTTATAGGCTAAATTTAGAAGCACTAACTGAGGTCTATAAATGTTATTGATCAACATTAATGTTAACAGCTGAGGGTGAAAACTCACATTTTGTTCATGTGTGACATCATATCGAAATGAGGATTAAGTCAAATTTGGTCAAAATGACCGAACTACATTTTCTGATTCCTGCTTTAAAAGCTACATTTTGATACCTGGATCATCCTGATATCATCTTATCCAGAGATATGACTTAATTAGTCTTGTTGGTTACTATAATACATTACTGTTTGGTCTGAATCCTAATTTTATGGAAGTTTATTCAGTCATTTTTGATGTCCATATAAAGAGGAAACATCAAATAAGATTTCCCAGTTGGAACGAAACAAAAACATTGCTAGCTCACGGAAATTTTCAAAATTTTAAGGCGTTTTTCCTCAAAATCAGTTTTTTTTTGTTAATGCTCAAAAAATGATTCAAAATTTTTTTAGGATTATATTTGAGACAGTTCATTCAAATGATACATTGATAAGGCATTAATTCATTATATTTTTACAAAATGCTATTTTTGCACACATTTAAATCTAAACCTGAAATCTGCCTATTTCCCCACATCCCACTTTTGGACTTAATCCTCATTTTGATGTGATGGGTCACATGTGTGTCACTTATCCACCAGGTGACAACATATGAACACAAATACAGCTGTGGAACGTCAATGATAAGTCTTAATAGAGCAACATGGAAGTATGTGACTCATGTTGTCTGTTGAAGAATGTTCATGGGTTGATTTGGTTATTAGTGCTTTAGAATTAGGGGACCTAAATATTTGAGTTAGTGCTTTAGGGTTAGTGGGACTAATTTTTAGATAAGTGCTGCGCACCTCTGGTTTTAGTATTCTCCAGGTCTGCATAAGTACGGAAATACTCAAATACAATGTAGAAAAACAAGTTTTTCTAGAGTCTGTGCAACGTCACATTTTCTAAAAGAATAAATTCAAATTTTGTAAAAGAAATGTCCAGAGTAGCTGAGTGTTTTTCAGTTATTTGTGATGGTTTTTCAGGACTGCGCACGCCGCCAAAGGTATCAAACGCTGGCTACATAATATTTTAAATTTTCTGAAACACTCAATTTAGTTTTTTTTTCAATATTTGTAAGCCATAGTCATCAAAATTTCAAGAAATCTTAAAATATTTTGCTCTATGCGAATGGATCCATATAACATACAGATTTTCACCTAAACTGTCAGAAAAAACTCATGACATTCTAATTGTTTTAGATGCACCTGTATACATTAGATGATGTCATGATTGACACTTTTGGTTAAAATACCACTACAAATCTCAGATCTAGGGTTTTAGCCAAAAATGTTTTAGTTTTTGAGTTCCTGATTGAAAACTCAGGCACATGCAAACTTAGGTTAACAGTTTTCTGAGGTCTCTCTCCCTCAGGTAATAAAAGGGTTAAGTCCAGGGGTGCCCAACCTTTTTTGAACCAAGAKCCACTTTTGAAGTCGGCAGTTTGCTGAGAGCTACTCGACCAGTCTCAGTATCAAAAAAACATAATTTTTCATCTCCCTACTCCTCACTTCATTAAAGTAAATAAAACAGAACGTAATGTGTTGCTAAAGTTTTATTTATTTTAAAGTATATAAAACTAAATTATCTACTTAACCATCTACTTACCTACAAAAAAGAAAAGAAAAAACCCTTACTTAACTCCTGACAGTGAAACAAAAAATTGGTGGTGGAACAAAAAGGATTTTTTTTTTTTTACCTCCTTCAGTTGGAGGGCTGGAAATCTGCAGAGTCAAATAACTTTGAAGCAGGGAATTTGTCTCTGTTTAATCACAGAACTCTCCTCTCTTCTCTCCATACAGGGGAAAAAACCTTAAAAATCAATCAGGGTCAACAGTGCTGCCCATTTTTCAAAATCAAAGCACACAATATAAAACTCCCTCATTTGCAAAAAGTGTCTTACAAAGGTGCAGATTCACAAACCAACAACAACTATTTCAAACCTCAATAAAACCTGAATATCTAAGCTAGGCAACTGGCTCTGAGCAGCATGCAGGGTGGTGTCATTTGATCACACACACACACACACACACACACACACACACACACACACACAC